AGAATCAGTTAATCAATGAATTAATCAATAAGATGAGCTGGCAAAATGTTTGCAACTGGGGCCCCTCCCTTCCCCCACACTGGCCACTCCAGGGGCTCTGAGTCTTCCAGCCCTCGGTGTTAGGGGCTGTGTCACAAAACCGTATTTCCTAACTCAGTCAGGTCTGACATCTGCGGAATTGTTTCCTTATCCGCAAAATGGGAGCAATAACAGAACTAACACGGTAAGGTTCTGTGGAACAGTAATATTCACTTGCGAAGGAGTGCTGCTCACTCATACTGCTGAGCACAGGGGGCCAAGGACTGGGGGAACTCTGGGAAGAGAAAGAGGGGACACTACAAGGGCGTGCATGGCCTCACTGGTGTGTGGTGACCACAGGGAGCAGGCCCCTACGCCTGCCATGGCTGGGAAGTGGGGCAGGGGCCTGCCTTTGATCCGGGGAGTGAGATAAGGGCTCCCCATTCAAGCCCGAGACCCAGAGCTCAGGGCCTCCAGGCCAGCAGGCGGCCCTGCAGCTAACTCTGTCTCAGGGGGCGGCAGCCCCAGCCCCAGCTTCCATCCCATGCCCCCACGCTGGCCAGCCGCGGCCCAAAGCCAGGACTCCACAACTGCACTTATGATTTGTCGTCTTAGCTTGGGATGAAGACATTCCTGTCTGTCAAGATTCCATGCGTGGATGTATCCTCTGTCCCTCCCAACTTCCTCCTTGTGCCCTTGGAATAAAGTTTCACTAGCGTCAGATACGAGTCTCTTCATCGCAGGCGGCAGGAGCCCCAGCTGGCCCGGCCAAGAAGAAGCGCGCAGCTCTCCGCACCTGAAGTGTCCGAGGGGCAGGCCAGCCCCAGGTTAGCAGCAGGACCTAGGTCATCTGTGCTAGCTCTGCAGGTAGGGCCCTCCCTCGTGCCTCCTCTTCTGGGCTATAGCTCCGCAACCGAGTGACTCCAGTCAACACCACTCCCTGCAAGTTGGAAGAAAAAGCCTTATGTGGAGTTGCATTACTGATGGGCAACCTGACTGGGGCCATGAGGCTCTCCTACGCGAGCCATTTTACCAAGAAGAATACAGTGTGCTGAGTGCGGGGCTTGCCCCACATCCACCCTGAATACAGTGGTAATAATCAACACCTCCCAAGACTGAAGGATAGATCAGAGGTGAAAACAGCGTAGGACCCCTAAGCTAAATCAGGTGCTATTACTGAAGTTGATGCCCCCCCAAAAGAATTTTCACCTTGTCACCTATGCAAAGCTTTGTTCAAATTTACTAGGGCCAGCAAGATAGCACAGAGGACTAAGCGCCTGCTTAGGCAAGAGCAGGTTCAATCCCCTGCACCCCCTGCCGTGCCAGCCCTGCCCCTGGGCCTGCTGAGCCAGCAGTCAAGCCCGGGCGTGGTGGCACACACCTGTTATCCCAGAGCTGGAGAGGCTGAAAACAGGAGGACCACTATGAGTCTAAGCTTCTTAGTGAGACCTTGCACAAAATACAAAAAAAATTATATATATATATATAGTTACTAAAAGTACAGTATGGCTTCGATGTCTAATACCCCCTTGATCAGCAGGGCTGACCTTGGATTCTCTTTCAAATTTTCACCATCTCTGAGAATTGCACGAGCTGATGAAGAGGAGCAGGACCATTCCTCCACAACAGCAGCAAGTACTCTTTTGGCACTTAATAGATTGCCCCCAAAGTCATTTATGCACCAGACATGAGTTCATGTAATGCTGCCGTCATTCGGCCAACTCTCTGCTTCTGGGAAAAAAAAAAAAAAAAAAAGTGTATTTAGGAAAGCAACTTGGCCAAATGATGCACCGTTCTACCCTGAGCTAAAGTCCACATGGACCCCTCAGTCCAGAGTTTCTACCAAAGCAGGGCGGTGGGGGTGGGGCGGTTTGCCCTTCAGCCAAGCCACACAATGCTTTTTGTCTAGAGTTGTTTGCACAGTCATAACATCAGCCAGCTTCTCTAGACTTCCCAGCCACCCTAAAACTCCAAACCCCACCCAGTCCTGTAAATCATACCACTGAAGCAGAGTACCAGCTGTGCAAAGCGACCCACATCAACACGGTCCCCAGGGGACTCACTCTGCTATTTCCAGCCAGGACGGGCTGGGTCAGAAAACAGTGTTGACCCAAAAGGAAAATCCTCACAAATACAAGTATTGGGTGGAACCGTATGAAGCGGTCATTTTATAGACAAGTAATAGTCCAGCATCAACTGCTACTCCCGTGGCCACGGTGGCAGTTCTCAAGGTGTGACCCAGACCCCTGGGGGATTCCCAACATCCTTTCTAGAGGAACCAATTTGTTTCCATAATGACACCAAGAAGTTCTAGCTGCCTTTTCTTGGAGCTGACATTTGCACCGGAAGTGCAAAAGCAGCAGTGGGTGCATCTGCCTGTTTTCCGCTCTGAACAACACAGTGTCACAGGCTGGGCGACCCTCAGGGAGGTGTTGGTTTCTGCTTCCAATTCTGGAACAGGGCAAGGGCCTGCACCTGGTAACGGCCTTCTGATATCGGAGTCCTGAGGTCATGCAGCACGCAACAACATGGGGAGCACACGTGTGAATGTAAATTCTGAGGTCTCACTTCCTGTGAGCCCACCAGTCAGTCTTGGGGACGCCACCCTGATGACCTTATTTCACCCTAATGGCCCCCAACATCCTCACCTCTGAACCCCATTGTACTGCTGATTGTTGCTGCTCTAGGGAAAGGAGCAGCAAAGGCTTAGCTTTTTTTCTCTTCTTTTTAATTTCTTGTCACATTTTCTTCCAGTTTTGCATGCGTATATATCTGCTACTCCAAAGAACTAATTTGAAGACACCACTATGCAGTACAACAAACATTGCTGAATTCGTGTTATTTTCTTTAGTGAAATTCTGTATCATTTCTAATATTTTTGTTATTATTTTGTATCATTCTTTTTAAAAATAAAAAAGAGACTGAAGAGATGAGTAAGAAAATAAGTAAAGACCATAACATGGGCCAGAACTTTCTCAGTATCTCCCGAGTCAGATTAAACTCCAGTGTAAGTTTCACATTCAAACCGCAGCAATGCATCCAATTATACGAAGCTGCAATTCTGTCACTGGCTTCAGTTAAACAACATACTGCCCCAGGCTCGATACAGAAGCTCCTGGCAATTCTGTCATCTTTTATTAAACTCAGTAAAATTCTGAAAATTATAAAGAGAGTCCTCACTTTTATATTACTGTTCTGGAAAACATATTTCAGAAAAGCATTTTACTTACATCAGCATGAAATGAGTTTATTATTGATACAGTGGGATAAGTTTAGAAATATTTTTATCAGCATTAACTTCTTGTATAGAAACTTATCAATGGATATAACCCACATAAACAAAAACTCTCAGGGGATTAAAGCACCTGTTTAGGCAGACACAGGGACTGGGATTTGATCCCTGGCACGCATGCCAGCCCTGCCCCCCACCTCAGGTGCGGTGAGACAGCGATTGAGATTGGGCACAGTGGAGCATGCCTGTAATCCCAGCGCTTGGGAGGCTGAAAACAGGAGAATCACTGAGTCCAATCTATGTAGTGAGACCCTATCTTAATAAAATTTTTTTAATAAAAAAACCTCTCCCGGGTCCTCCATTAGGTTTTTCTTATTTTTAATTTTTAAAGTTATTTATTTATTTATTTGGTACAGAGTCTCACTCCGCAGCTTGTACTCTTAGTGATCCTCCCGTCTTTTCTGGGCCCAGACCGCGCACTGGGGTTCCCAGCACTGCACCGAGCGAGTACCAGGATTGAACCCAGGTCCTCGTGCTTGCCAGGCAGGCGCTTCGACCAGCAAGGTGTATCTCCCCAGCCCTCATTAGTTTTAAAAGTGCAAACTATTCCAGAGAACAAACACGTAAAGAATTGCTGTGTTTGAACAATGGACAGCGAAATAAACCCGAAAGGAAGCGTTGATGCTGCTGGAAAGAACCTTGCTGAAACGACGCGCCCGGCGGAGCCTTGACCTCCTGAGAAGAGAAGGCGGGCTGCAGAGAAGAAAGTGACCATCCAATGAAACAGGGCGGCTCGGCCTGGTGCTAGGAACACCGTGCCGCAGACTAGGTGAGTTATAAAACGAAGAAGTTTATTTTGGCTTCCAGTGGTGGCCCAAGGTGGAAGGCCCACACGTGGCGGCCTGCTCGCTAGCCCAGCCCCAAGGTAGCGCCAGGCTTTCCAAGAGACAGGCGCTCAAGCAGGTTTTCACGGCACACCCACTCTGCCCGTTCACCCACTAACTGCATGAGTGGGGGACCCCTTCATGAAGGCGGGGGCCAAAGCACTGCTCACGGGTTCCTTTTTACCCCACTCTTAATCTCAGAATGAGGATTAAAGCCCACACGAGTCTCACAAGCGCTAAATCGTTCCTGCCGGACTCGGGAGGCCCTGGCAGCTGCCCGAGGCCGGACTGCAGGTGCTGTGGGGTCCGGGGGGTCAGCCAGAGCCCACACCTCGCGGGGGCTGCGGAATTCCTACCGCAGAGGCCGAGCCACAGGGCCGGACCTCCAACTGGGGCGGAGCTGGGAGTGGCTGGCAGGAAAGGAAATCACCGCAGTGACAACTAAGCAACCCCAGAGGTCCCGTGGGTGCAGGACACGCTCCCGGAAAGGAAAGGTCGCCAGCAGCCAAGCGCCGCAGCCCCCCTCTGGCAATCGCCGAGGCGGGGAGATCCAGGGTTCAAGGACACCCTGAACTACAGCGGGAGACAGTCTCAGCCGAGGCGAAAGTCAAACCAAAGCCTCCCCTGGGGATCCTCTGTACCTGCGGGCCCAAAGAGGACGAGAGGGGGGTGCACGGGAGTCCAGGCGCGAGCGCGGTGCGGGGGGAGGTTGCGGAAGGGCCCGCACCGGGCAGCGCCGGCTCAAGGCCTGTGCGCTACGCGTGGGGCGGGGAGGCGGGGTCGCCGGCGGGCAGAGCGGGGCGAGCGCGGGTGTCCTCCGCCCGGCGCCGGGCGCAGGTGCGCAGTGCGAGACTAGCAGGAGGGCGGTGCCCCGGCAGCGACTGGACTCGCAGGTGGCCGGCTGCAAGCTCCGCCCGCGGGCGCCCCGGCGCCTCCGCCTCCGTGTGCTCCGCGCGGCTCCGTGTGGCTCCGTGTGGCTCCGTGTGGCCTCCTGTGGCCTCGTGTGGCTCGCTTCTCTCCCGCACTCGCCCGCCGCCGCCTCCGCGATCTTGGCAGTCAGCACATCAGCACATCCGAGCCGCCGCCGAGCAGGTACGACGGAGCCTGGGCCGCTCCGAACCCGCGCCCCCGCCAGCCTGGCGTCCACCCGGCCGGAGCCTCAGTTTCCCGCGGGAGGGCGCTGGATGCCTGCGTGCGATTCCGCGCTCGGGCCGCCGCGCGGATGCGGTAGAGGGCGGAGGGGCGGAAGGCACGGAGGGGACAGAAGCCTCCCTCAGAGGTTGGGGGCCGGGAGGGTCGCGCGAGCCCCACGAGTCACCCCGCGAGTCACCCCCGCGCGTGGGCCTCGTGATGTTCCCTCTAGGGCCGGGGGGGGGGTGGAGCCTCTGCCGCGGTCCCACAGACGGGTAGCTGAGAGCAGATTTGAACCCTGACAGTCGGACCCCAGATCGCTTGGCCTCTGGGGGGCGTTGATCTCTCTCTGAGTCCGCTTTGGGGCGGAGCTTGCGGTCCCTAAACTGAAGATTCCTGGCGCTGGGTTCAGATCGTGTAGCTTGGTCGCTCGGGACGCTTTGCAGGGGGCGGGGGGTGGGCGGGTAGTGGGTACCCGAAAGTGAGGGGAAACTGAGGCGCATGGTTTCAAAGGGTTAGAACGTGGGGCCGGGGAAATAGCTCAGTAGCTCGCCTGGCAAGAGCAAGGACCCGAGTTCAGTCCCCGGTTCTGAAAAAAAACCACACCAAAGGGTTAGAACTCTTTCACCCGCAGCACACCACAGCTCTCCAACAGCATGGGGGTGGGGTGGAGCTGCAGGAGCCCTGGCAGGACCTGTCGTGACAACCGACAACCGCGTGACAACCCGAGTGACCTGACCTTCCCACCTGTCCAACGAGACCTTCTTTGGTCATATGCTGCCTCTAGAACCTTCCAACTCGGCTCTCCTTGGTCCCTGAAGGGAATCGTGGCCTCCGGGGGTGGGTAAATCTCCGCAGAGCTTTCCCAATACTCGTAAGTCAGGTGTCAGGGCCAGGGAAGGCAGACCACTCAGAGCTCCGGAGTGTGCGTTTGCAGGGGCGTCACCGCCCACATCTGCAAGATCCTCGCGGTCACTTCCTCCAGAAGCAGCTGCGTACTACGTTGCTGCATGTAAGGCTGGTCCATTTATTTAAACTGTAGGTGTACCAAATTTGGTACTCGTTTTCTAATATATATATATATATATATATATATAGAGAGAGAGAGAGAGAGAGAGAGAGAGAGAGAGAGACTCACTAAATCACTAAGTTGCCCAAGCTAGACTTGAACTTGTGATCCTCCTGCCTCAGCCTCCCAGAGTGCTGGGATTACAAGCACAGGCCAGGGTGCCTGGCAAATCTCCTATAAAATGGCTCTCTGTGTCAAGTTCACCTTCCCGTTCTTTGTTCTGAACTAACTTCATAGGGTCGGAGTCTGGGAAACAGGTCCCTGTGTATGACCGCATGCACACCTGCCTGTGTGCACAGGCGCGCATGGGTGTGTGTACATGCACCTGACGCATACATGCATACGGGAGCTACACATATGCAGGCGTGCGTGCGCACCATGGGCTGCCTGAGTGGGGGTTCAGGGCCTGTCTGCAAGCCCCTAAGCTTCCAGGTACACACAGACACCTAAGAAGGCTGAGTCTACTCTGCAATGTGTGACAGCACCATCAGGAATTGGCTGGGATGCCTGATAGCTAGCAGGTGAACTGGGGAAAAGCTGGTGTTAGAGATGTCTACATTACAGCCCCAGCTCTACCACTCCCTAACCCGTTCCTTCCCCTACCCTGGGCCTCAGTTATCACATCTGTAAAATAGACTTGTTGTTATGGCAACCTCCCCAGACCATTAAGTGGTGTAATGAGATAGTGAAAATAAGATGCTTCTGCTCAAGCAGGAAGTTGTGTCCTGGGGGCCCCAGAGGGCTGTGTGTGTGGCAGGTGACGCTCAGAGCCACCACTGGCTTCCTCTTCCACACCCCAAGTGCAGCCAGGACAGCAAGCACTGGGAGGGCGCCAAGGACGATGCTTGGCTTGGCGACAGGTGGAGTCTGAACATGTCATGGTTCTAATAAGGGCTCTACCACAGCCTGGGCCTGCGAGGAGACAGAAATGAAGTGAGCCGAGGCGCCTGCCTCAGGGTACAGGAGATGGCAGAAGCCACCAAAAAGGCCCAGGGGCAGCTTCTGGGAGGCACACGCTCCTTTGACGATTATAGATTATCCCCCAGGTTTAAAAAACTGAGAGTGAGGGCTGGCCAAATAGCTCAGCGGATTAAAGCACCTGCTTAGGCAGATGCAGGGGCAGGAGTTCGATCCCCAGGCCTGCCGTGCCGGCCTCGCCCCTGGGGCGCACTGAGATGGCGACTGAGACTGGGCGTGGTGGCACGCACCTGTAATCCCAGCTCTTGGGAGGCTGTAAACAGGTGACTCACTCTGAGTCCGATCTAGTAGTGAGACCTTGTACACCCTGTACACTCTGTCCTAAATGTAATAAATAAATAAAATTAAAAAAACTGAGAGATATCACATAAAACTATTCTGGGACCTCTTGAGAGATCAGAAGAGCTGGCAGCTCTGAGGAGGGGCAGGCACGCCCAGCCCTCAGGTGGAGGGAGAGATTGTATGAGTTACCCATAAGGATTCCACAGCAGGCACTGTCCTACAGATTAATTGAGCAGTCTCAGGCAATTTAGTTAGCATTTATAAATAATTTTTTTAGTTATTTATTTGTTAATACAGGGTCTTGCTAAGCAGCTCGCACTTGTAGTGATCCTCCTGTCTCAGCCTCCCCAGAACTGGGATTACAGGCGTGCACCAACACGCCCAGTCTCAGTGGCCAGCACAACGTGCCTGGGGTTCTGGGGCTGGCACATCATTCCGTACCGGGCATCGAACCTGGGTCCTTGTGCTGGCCAGGCAGGCGCTTAGACCACTGAGCTATCTCCCAGCCCTAGTTAGCATTTTTGTGTCTGTATTTCTTCACATGTTAAACAGGGACAATAATCGGCACTTGCGTGGAAAGTTTATTTGAGGTATTTGGACATGAAGTGAGCGAGCACACATGACCTTTCTAGAGTCAGGCCGGCACTCTCTGAACACTGCTGGGGCTGCCTGCCTGCCCCTGTGACAGGGATGTGTCCTCCCAACTCCCTCCGTGCAGTGGGTACGGTGCTGGGACACTGTGTACTTCTGCCCAAGGATAGCAAGGGACATTTCAGGGAAAGACACAAAGAGGAAGGCCTTTGTGACAGACAGCTGGGAGTCCTGGAGCAGGTGACTGAGCAGGGCGTGCTGCCCGGGAAACAGCCTGCACCTCAGCCGGAGGGCGGGCGAGGCCCAGGGAAGGGTGTTTAACAAGTGATGAACAGTCAGTGTCACTTTGCAATGAGCAGGAGGGGAGTTGGGGACACTGGGGAGACGGCCTGGCCCTCACCATGGGGTCTGAGGCAAGGGTGAGGGTTTCTCACACACCTCGTGTGCGCAGGTGCCGCTGTAATGTCACCCTGTAGTCCTCATAATGCCCCTGGGAAGCAGGCTTTACAGCTGGCTGGCATTGCGGGAGTCACAGGGAAGCTCTGGGAGGGTGAGCCACTCGCCCAGGAACCTGCAGCGGGGCTGTGAGCGGGCCGACACATCTGTCTGGTTGAAGGCCTGGTATCCTCTCTGAACCCCAGTTTTCTCCTTGCAAAGTGGAGGTGTTTCTAGCAAAGCCTGCTGCACAGACCTGCAGGAGACCTGGATGAGGGAGCGGACACGCAGCCCAAGGATAGGCCAGACTCCCGGCCTCCGCGGCGGGCGGCCTGACCCTCAGAGGGGAGAACCCGCAGATGACGCGCGAGGCCAGCGGGTCTCCACGTGAGGTCCCTAAGCCAGCAGCAGGGGCAGCCTCGGACTGTCCAACTACCCCAGCCACCTCCCAGATCAGCCGCTCGCAGGTGAGGCCCTGCAGCTGGATTTTCCCAAGTCCCCCTGAGTGCTGCTGACGCACATTCGGGAACGCAGAGCTGGAGAGAACCTCAGACGCGATGTCCCCACCCCACAGCCTACCAGAGACGCTAGATGGGGAGACCTGGCCCCCACAGAGACCCCACGGGAGACACAAGGCAGGAAGCATTGCTTTAGAGTCAGGCTTGGCGGCGATCCCGGCTGGGGAGCACCTCGCAACCTGCCGTTGCTCCCCCACGATGTCCTCCCTCGGTGTCCTGGCACGGGGCAAGGGTGGAAGCAAGGCCGTTCGGCGCAGGGCGCACGGGCAGATGCTCAGGGGCCTTCTGGGCATCCATCAGAAGGGAGCTGAGTGCTGTGCTCAGATGACGGAGCGGAGCGCAGGACAGGGCGTGGGCACGGGGAAGAGCGCAGCGGGCTGGGAGAGCGTCCCAAGGGAAGCTGCAAGTGCAAGTACAGGAGGAGATCCTGTGTGCGTGTGTGTGTGTGTGTGTGTGTGTGTGTGTGTGTGTGTGTGTGTGTGTGTGGAAAAGGGCCTGGACATGCATGCATGCATATATGTATTATTGATACATACATATATATATGTATATGTGCTAAGAAGACTTGGAACATACCCTGGAAGCTAACAACAGCGGTTGCCTTTGAAGATGTGAAGCTGAGGAACTCAGAGACAATTTTTCATTATGTGTAGTTTGGTCTTCTTTAGATTTTTTCTCAAATTTTATCATATTTATAAATTGTAACCAGTTACATCTTCTTACTTAAAACAAATATAATATTAGAGAGGCAAATTCCCTTAACACTACCCAAATTATAAATCAGGTTTCAAATAAAATTGAATTCATCTTTTGTAGGAGCTTTGACCACAAAAGAGCAAATACACATCTGTAAGCCCAGCACTCGAGAGGCTGAGGCAGGAGGATTGGCATGAGTTTGAGGCCAGCCTGGGCTATGGAAGTGAGTTTGAGGCCAGCCTGGGCTACACAGCGAGACCATAGTAGAATCCTGATTCTGCTCATCTGAGATCCTAGAATCAGCCAGAGTCACAGGGGCCAGCAGGTGGGAACCTACTGTTGACCAAAGGGGACCAAATCCCATTGTGTTTGGGACAACTTTGAAGTTCTGG